CTCTTGTTATGTTTCTGATGATGGTGCTGCCATGTTAACTTTTGAAGCACTGTCTGAGACATCAGAGTTTGCCAGGAAATGGGTACCTTTCTGCAAGAAATATAACATTGAGCCTAGGGCTCCAGAATGGTATTTTGCACAGAAGATTGACTACCTGAAGGATAAAGTTCAAACATCTTTTGTTAAAGATCGTAGAGCTATGAAGGTAAGGGCCTGCTTGGTTGTGCCATATTGTGCTCCATATTCAAATTTTCATCATGTTTGCTTCTTTGTTTCTGTTGCAGAGAGAATATGAAGAATTTAAAGTTCGAGTTAATGGGCTCGTTGCAAAGGCACAGAAAGTTCCTGAAGAAGGATGGATTATGCAGGATGGGACACCATGGCCTGGTAATAACACCAGAGATCATCCAGGAATGATCCAGGTAGGACATTTTTGCATTCATAGATACGCTACACATGCATCAATCCTGATCAAGATGGCATATCTTCCTTATCTCTAGATTATATGATTCTATGCACTCAACGGCAAAGCAGACTTGAAAAACTCCAGCAGTGGGATATTAGTGGACACGTGAGGAAAACAAATATGCTTGAGTTATTACACTCTATTTCAAGTGTATTACATAACTGTTCTGTTATCCACATGGTCTTCATTATTTAGAATGAGTTTTATCGGGAGCAATTTGAATCCATTATTATTTACAATAAGGTTTTGTAAATTTGTAGGTTTTCTTAGGCCAGAGTGGGGGCCTTGATTCTGAGGGCAATGAACTGCCAAGGTTGGTTTATGTTTCTCGTGAAAAGCGTCCTGGATTTCAACACCATAAGAAAGCTGGTGCTATGAATGCGCTTGTACGTTGCTTCTTAACACCTTATTACTACTCTCTGTTGTCTATCATGGTCAATCTAGTTGTTAATGAATCCTTTTTGCAGGTTCGGGTGTCAGCAGTTCTTACTAATGGGCCTTTCATGTTGAATCTTGATTGTGATCACTACATAAATAATAGCAAGGCCTTAAGAGAAGCTATGTGTTTTCTGATGGATCCAAACCTTGGGAAGCAAGTTTGTTATGTTCAATTTCCACAAAGATTTGATGGTATTGATCGGAATGATCGATATGCCAACAGAAATACTGTTTTCTTTGATGTAAGAGAAATCTTGTAGTAAGCAAATTGTTTCACTTTGGTAGATGATACAGTTACGTATAATGATAGATGTGTATTAGATTTTTAGAGAACATGTTGGTGAAATAATTCCTTTTGACACATCTCATGTATTTTGCTAAATTATAGATAAACTTGAGGGGTCTGGATGGCATTCAAGGGCCTGTTTATGTTGGTACGGGATGTGTCTTCAATAGAACAGCATTATATGGATACGAACCTCCACTTAAGCCCAAGCATAGAAAAGCAGGGGTGCTGTCTTCACTCTGTGGAGGTTCTCAGAAGAAGAGTTCGAAATCAAGTAAAAAGGGAACAGACAAGAAGAAATCTGGCAAACCTGTTGATCCTACTGTGCCAGTATTCAGTCTAGATGATATAGAGGAGGGTGTTGAAGGTAAACCGTGTACTCCCTTATCCTTTTAAGCGGTGATTATTAGTTTCATGTTTTTTTGGCCTAATGAGGAAAAGTTCCATCCATATCATACACACGTGAAATCAGGTGCTGGGTTTGATGATGAAAAGTCGCTACTAATGTCGCAAATGAGCCTGGAGCAACGTTTTGGTCAGTCTGCTGCTTTTGTTGTCTCTACACTTATGGAGAATGGTGGTGTCCCTCAGTCTGCTACGCCAGAAACACTTCTTAAGGAAGCAATTCATGTTATCAGCTGTGGATATGAGGACAAAACAGACTGGGGAAGTGAGGTAATTTATCTCCTTTACTTTATTCGTTGCACCTGAAATATTTAAAACAGTGCGATTCCTTTACATGTAAAATTGATTGCTGGATTCCATTGCTATTGAGGTTATGTTAGTAATTTACTGAATATTTCTTTTGGGCTTGTTTTGAGTATAATAAATAACCAATAAAGTAGTATAGATGAATATGCGCTTGTTTTGGGTGAATTTTTGTGTCCCTAGATCAGTGACCATCAATGTATTTGAAACTCAAATTTGAATTTTAGAAATATGTCGCCATTCTGGGTAGTTGGACAAATGGTTGCTTCTATTTCATTTTAAATTCCAATTTTTGTTGCATGTGCAAGATTGTTGCTTGCCCTCAATGTGTATGGTTTTATTTAATCTTCTTAACATCGTCCCTTTCAATCTGCCATAATGAGTTAAATTTTCCTTGGTTTCTTTTGCCTTCAGATTGGATGGATCTATGGTTCTGTTACAGAAGATATTCTTACAGGATTTAAAATGCATGCCCGTGGTTGGCGGTCAATTTACTGCATGCCAAAACGCCCAGCATTCAAAGGTTCTGCTCCTATTAATCTTTCAGATCGTCTGAACCAAGTGCTTCGGTGGGCCCTTGGTTCTGTGGAAATTCTTTTAAGTAGGCATTGCCCTATCTGGTATGGTTATGGTGGTAGGCTGAAGTGGCTTGAACGGTTTGCATATGTTAACACTACCATCTACCCAATCACTGCTATTCCTCTTCTCATGTATTGCACATTGCCTGCTGTGTGTCTGCTCACTAATAAGTTCATTATCCCACAGGTTAGACTTTTCTACATAAATCACGTTCCCTTTGCATGTGTGCACGTAGACAATTGGGTGGGTTGGGTCAATTTTGTGTTTGGGCCATTTTGGATTTGGGCAAGGCACTTGAGTTAATTCTTGAGTTAATTAGGAGGGGTGGTTATATGTTCTTTTTTTTAAAATTAGGTTAAAAGCAGATAAAACTTGTTAACACTATCTGTTATGGTGAAATCTACAAGTTGGCGCATTTTATTTTAATTTCTGTTTGATTTTTTATGACTGCAGATTAGTAACATTGCAAGTATATGGTTTATATCCCTCTTTCTTTCCATCTTTGCTACCGGTATTTTAGAAATGAGGTGGAGTGGTGTAGGAATCGATGAGTGGTGGAGAAACGAACAGTTTTGGGTTATTGGTGGTGTCTCAGCTCATCTTTTTGCTGTTTTCCAAGGGCTTCTCAAAGTTCTTGCCGGCATCGACACTAACTTTACCGTTACCTCAAAAGCATCAGATGAAGACGGAGATTTTGCTGAACTTTACATGTTCAAATGGACGACCCTTCTCATCCCACCGACCACTCTACTCATTATAAACTTGGTGGGGGTTGTTGCAGGAATCTCGTATGCCATCAACAGTGGTTATCAATCATGGGGACCTCTCTTTGGTAAGTTGTTCTTCGCCTTCTGGGTGATCATCCATCTCTACCCCTTCCTGAAGGGTCTGATGGGACGGCAAAACCGGACGCCGACCATTGTTGTTGTATGGTCAATTCTTCTTGCCTCCATCTTCTCTTTGTTGTGGGTGCGGATCGATCCCTTCACCACTAGAGTTACCGGGCCAGATGTACAACTCTGTGGAATCAACTGTTGAGTTCATAGAAGGCTGTAAATAGGAAAGGTGAGAATGAATTATGATATTGTTCTGTCTTTAATTACATCATGTGCAGTATATAGGTCGTATGTTAGGCCTCTGGAAAATACTGGTATTATTCTAATATATATACGCTTATACGTTTTCGAGTGTCGAACCAACATGGAGACTATTAATCTATTTCTAATTAAATTACAAGTCAGTACCACAGATCTGCCTTTGTTTATGGTATTAGAAAACAACCTTTGATTGCCCAAATAGGTAAGTTTCATTTTGGTTGTGTTGCTTGAAGCTGTGACTTGTACACTGATTGGCTCTCCGGCACGACAAAATTAGTACCACTGCCAAACAACTCAAGATACATACAAAAACAAGCTCCTCCTGTTCCTTCCAGAATTTTTTTTTTGCTGTTTTGCATGCCACGATCCTTACAAAAGCAAGCTCATCAGCTGCTGAATGAAGACTGCTCGGATCTAAATTTTATTTATTTTTTAAAAAGTTTAAGGGTCATTTTAGTTTATGTAGTAAACTCAATTTATCATTTTTGTTTTTATTGTATTTTCATATCAATTTAACCCTCAAAGTTGTTTAATTGTATTATTCTATACTTACATCTAACCTAAAACCCTGAATTATACATTCTAAGTTAGATTTAAGGTTTAGGGTGCATGGCTTATATGTTATGAGGTTATGGTTTAGGATTTAATGTTTATAATTTATGGTTTTAAGTTAGAAGTATGATGAGGGTTTAATTGATGCGAAAATATGATAGGTGTGAAATGAATAAATTGGGTGGCAAAAGTTACCCTTCTAACTTTTTAAAATCATAATGTTTTTAGATTACAGATGGGAATGTAGTACTATGATAACTTTAAAATTTATGATATAAATCCATCACAAATCATTCAAATACATCACAAAAATATCATAAACAAAAAGAGCAAAATCTGATGCGTATATTATATCAGTAATTTGATCATTAAAAGTGAGCTTCATCGGCTACGAATTGGTGTGTTATATGTTGATTTCTGTTATTTGATTTGCTGTTACTGCATATTAGTAGCAATGATATGCTTTGTTTTGGAGTCATTGTCATCTATTTTTCTATTATTAAAATATACAGATATTTATTCAGACTTCTAGTTTTAGTTTTAGTTTTAACTTTTATTTTATTTTACCCATGTATATTCTGACCGTCCATAATTACTAACCCAGCTCAGAACATCCCTTCATTGTAATTGAAATTATTAATATTTATTATGTAATCTTTTTGAGTAGATATGCAGTATTTTAAGTTAAAATCTCAATTATAATCTCAATTATTATTAATTGTATAATTTTTTAAGACATACAAGATAATGATTTAATTAAATTTCATTATAAATTAACTTAAATTAAGTTATAGCATAAAATAATTATGGACAAAATTCTTTTATTTGTTTACCGTGCCCCTAATTACACCTCACTTGTTATTTTTTGACACGTCTTGTTTTCCTATTTACGGAAATTCAAAAGTTAATTTCCATCAGTCTTCAACAAATTTTTTTTATATTCTTTTTGAATAAATAAATTTCTTTCATCCTGTTCAAATTGATTTAGTTCATTGATTAATCAAAACATTAGAACAAAGAAACTTCACCATCTCTTACATTTGCCTCCTCGATCCGCTCGTCAACGATGCCGGAGATGCTAATGTATTGAGAGACGATGATGAAGTACTCTACGATGCGCTTGGAAGTGATGAAGAAGTGGCTAAAATTTTCAACAAGATGGAGCACTGTTTTGGTTTCTAATCCAGAAACTTAGGTTGACGCAAACGAAAACTACAGGATCATTGCCTATTTTAGCAGCCCTTGGATCTTTATAGCATTTGTGGGCGCCATTGCTGCACTTCTCCTCAGTGCTCTGCAGACTTACTACATCATTATTCCAGCAAAGTAAGTTTTCCTTCAACAGACTTATTACATCATTACACAAATAGGAAAGGTGGGAATGAAGTAAGATAGTGCAAATTACTGAAATGCACATCAGTGAGAACATGGGCCGAATGATATATTATTTATCAGCAGTGTGATGTAACATTTTGGACATTGTTGCAATATATAATTAGTCGTATTGTATCTTGTTTTATCGGCTAGTTCACTCCCGGTCACCAAATTCGTTTCTGGCAGTTTGCTGGATGGGTATCATTGGCGAAGAACTGGTTCTGTCTAGACTAGATCGACTAGACAACATGTTATGGTACTTGGTTTTCCATTTCCATGCATACATTAATTAGTTCCATGTTGATAACTTATATTTTGATGATCACAGCTAAGGCAGATGGAGGAAATGAAAGTGGGAAATAATAATAATAATAGCAATTACAACAGGATCCCCAGCCCCGGGAGCTCAGGTGCATCAATCCCATCAAGTGGGACGTTGACCAGCATATGTACCGACATTGGGAAGTTCTGCCGTCCGATGGATCACGTGATAGTGGAGACTCAGGTCAAAGGAACGCTCATTCAAAGGCTGGACCAAGCAGAGGATCGCCTACTTAAGGTGCATATATATAATCACATGATATTATGTATACGACTCATAGTCTTTGACAAAAGTAAATCTCTCTCATACAATTTCTTTGACTTGAACACACCACAAGCAGGCGGTTCCTATTGTTGGAACCAACTGACGTTGATTAGTTGAGTATGTTAACCAGTGATGTTGTTGTTTTGAAACAGCTGTGTGTGCAGTTGGAGGAAGAATTGGAGAAAGAGAAGAGGAGGCAAGTGGAGAAGAAGGGGATCAAACAGTTTGTGAAACAATGTGTCGTAGGGAAACACAGACGGGCGCAACGGAGAGTTGGCAAAATAAAATAGAGAGCTTCATACATATAATTTAGTGTGTATATATTTATATATGTTTAGCGTGCATGGACGTTTCTTTCTGTTGTTTTTTGGCATACTTTTAATGGCGGCCTTGTGTTGAATTCCGTTAGCTGTTGTTGTCTCTTGAAAGTGGGTTTACCTGTTCAACGTTGGAGGGTGTGATGTGTGTGACGAAGATGAAGACCAAATGGGTCAGATGATTTCAGATACCATCGGGCTATGAACCTTACCGCACAATTGAAGGCACTAAAGCATAAGGCCAACATTCATGTTACATAAATTAAAATTTCAACCTCAATTCATATCGTATAAAACAATTATATTATGAACCTGTTGAATTACCGAGACTTCAGTAGTAAAAATGATACAACACAAATTTTGTTTTAAGGTTTATATGGTTTTTTTATCTTTCGATTTTTTCATCTTAACTAATTCAGATCGACTCGGACCGTACACTTGATGTTAGTGAGTATGTCTTTCAACGATGTTTTTTTACATTCATAAAGACTCGAACTCGAGATTTGTTTACCACTTGAACCAATCTCGTTGGTAAGATTTATATTATTTTTATATTTAAGAATAAATATTATTTTATAACTATACATATTATTTAATAAAAAATAATTATTTTATAGTATTAAAACTAAAATTAATTTAAAAATAAAAGAAATTTATATTATTTTTAATTAACATGCTCTTTCTTCTATAGTTCTATTTACTCATTTTACCTTCAGTTTTTATAATTTACTTACTAGATTTTCGAATTGTTATTATTTTATTATTATTTTCATATGACATAATATTTTTATTATATATTATAATTTAAAATATAAAGTAAAAATTATTATATAATATAATTTATAATATAAAATAAAAATAGAAGGTGATTGGACCATCGTTGATCACCGTTAATTGCTATAGATGTTGATCGTTTGATTTCAAAAATTCAAGGGTCGTTTCGGCTCGACACTCTGAGTCAATCCGACTTCCATTTTGTAAGAACTTGCTTGGAAGTTCACAAATTGGAGATCAAAATTAAAGAAAATGAAACGTTTCAATCGGGATTCACAAGTTTTGAGATATTTTCCCTTGAAACAATCATCAGATTTTGACTCATGAGGTCAAGACGAATTGACCTATGAAATTTGAAATCAAACGATCATCTACCACGATAGTCGACAGTGACGTTCAACCACCTTCTATTTTTATTTTATATTTTAAATAAAAAAATTATCACATCATATGAAAATAATAATAAAATAATTTATAGTGATTAAAACATGAGTAATTAAAAAAATAGTGAGTAAATTAAAAAAAATTGAAAGTACAATAAATAAATGAAAGGTCAAAACATGAACAATTTTAAAGTTCAGTGAATAAATTAGAAAAATTGAAAGTCCAATAAATATAATAGGTGAAAGAGTAAAATTCGACGAGGAATGACATATTTTAAACAAATAAATAAAAGGGTAAACTACATAAATGATCACATAACTAAGGGGATGTCTCAAAATGACAACTATTTCTAAATTTGCGTCAATATGATCACTTGACTATATAAATGGTTTCAAAATTGCCACCTAATGTTAACATTTAACAGAATGTTTACGCAGCAGTTAATAAAATTGGTATAACTAGGGTGTGGGTCCTTGTAAAGTTAGGTATTCGCAGTGACGACACCCTGCTTTGTTTTCTTCTATTTTGATCACTACTTGTATATGATTTGTTTCCTTGAATTTTCATTTAATGCAATTTGATCTTAATTTTGTTTTTACTTTGTCTAATGCCTTAATTTGAGCATTAACTTTAAAACCTTTTATTCTAGTTATGTATTAAATTTATAGATTAAATCTCCTAGATTTTAGAATTAATCGTTGAGTCAATTCTCACATTTGTTATCAAGATAATACATATGTTATATAATTTGTTCAAGTTTAGGCAGAAAAATAAAACTAAAATAGCTTAATTGCATTTGAACCCAATATCAGTTAGTAACCATGCAAAGCCTTAACCAATAGACTAAGGGGTTGTTTGTTTACTTCAGAATGATTAAGCGTTGAATGATTCAAATGCTGAATGATTCAGAGGCTCTGTATGAATTAGCTCTGAATGTGACATGTTATTTGATAATGGCTCTGAATCATTCAGAATGTACTTCTGTGCTGAATCATTCATCATTGTTTTGTTGAATCAGTCAGTACTGAATCATTCAGAGGTGCGAAACAAATGCGTTGTTGAACGGTTCAACATTCAGCGCTGAATGATTCCATTAAGAGGCAAACAAACAACCCCTAAATCTACTATTTAGGAATCAATTAAAATATTTTTATATATATTATATATTATAATTAATGATATAAATAAAAAAAACAAGTGAGGACTTAAATCTAGGCCAATTGAGAATACGTAACCTTACAAAGACTAGCGTCCTAATTATACAAATTTTATTAACTGCCATGTAAACGCTCATTTAACGGTAAGTGACTATATTGAAACCATTTAAATAATTCAGTGGTCATATTGACACAAATTTAAAAATAGTAGTCATTTCACTATCCAACCCTTAACTATATGGTCATTTATGTAGATTACCCTAAATAAAAATAAGTTTCAGTTTAGTTACGCATTGTTTTTAAATTTATAAAGTATTTCAACGGTTCTTTCTAATTCAACTCTTAATTTGGTGGAATTTATTTTGCACGCCACGCATGACAGCAAAGCAACCAAATCATTAACGAATGACAAACACGACAACTTCCAGCACAACAAATAGATCTCTCAAATCCAAAAATGGCATTAGCCTTCCGTTTTTCCAATTAAAATCCCCATCTGAAGATATAAATAGTTTGGGGTGTAGAATCTACTTCCCCATTTCTCTCTCTCTAAATTTGAATTATTGAATGACTTTTTGCCGAAATATTCGAGCTTTTCATTACCGTCAAAAAGAACATACGCCATTCTCCTTTTATGGAAGTAAGAAAAGTTAAGCACCACAAGATTCATACTTCTTTCCTAACAAAATGGGCTGCAGCTTGTCATTACCAGCAAGCACACCAGCACCGGCAATGGCACGAAGGATATTAGCTCCAGCACCTTTAAACAGAGACTTGGCACCCTCATTTTTCAAGATCTGAGAGAATGCATCGAGCGAACTCTTGTATTTGACTGCTTCACCCGATGTCATCATCATTCTTCTAGGAACAGTGTCGATCGGGAACGATGCAAGTCCGGCACCGTTTGTGATGAGCCAACCAAGAGTAAATCTAGCAAAGAAACTATCCTGTGATTATCAGAGGGAAATAGAGAGCGTGATGTCATTACCACGTTGAAGTGAAAAACATCCTACAAAACATAAATTTAGACATCATACTAACCTGCATGTTTCCAGTCAGAAGCACAGGCTTCAAGGAGTCGTACATTCCAAAGTATAGACCCCGATAAACGATGATTCCGACACATGAAATATTGAAGCCACGATAAAGCCCAGCAATACCATCGGATTTTAAGGTCTTCCTGTAGACATCAACAAGGCCATCGAATTGCCTCTCCCCTCCCTTCTTTGCAGCCTTTGCATCATTGGCAAGACGGGTTTGACTGTAATCCAGGGAGTAGACAAAGAGAAGGGAAGAAGCACCCACTGCACCTCCGGATGCCAAGTTTCTGGCAAACCATTTCCAGGAACCATCTGTCTTTCTTAAAGTTGAAAAACCTCTTGAAGTAATCCTTGAAAGCAAAGTTCAATGCCTGTTGCAAAATGAACAAAAAAAATAAGCATAAAACAAGTGAGCAATATATGATATTCAACATCAAAACCAATGAGAAGAAATAGACTTACAAGTACCAGCCTGAGTGGGGAAATAACATATAATATTAGCGGTGTTTCCTCTCCAGAAAGAAACAAATCCTTCGTCTTTGATTGTTCGCTTGAAACAATCACCGATGCCCTCGTAGGGTTCAGAGAGCCTACCAGTTTTGATCATTTCATCCTGGTTCTGTATCAATAGCTTAACAAGCTCGATTAGAGCAGCAGCTGTTTTAGATACAGCAGCAGAACCCACTCATGAGGAAATCAATAGCAAAGCTGCTAAATCCTTTCTCCGCAGGAGCTTGAACACAAATGGCAGATGCTGTTGATGGAGAGCTGTGCAGGTCTCCGGTGGCTCCACAAGCACTAACATTAGGATAGCCCATTGCAGCACTGGAGCAATTCCCATATGCAAACCGTATTTGGTATAGAGCAGGCCTCCTGAAAGACCCATCACACCCTTGAACGTCTCGGGAAAGGCTAGAAGAAATGAGCTGGCCTGCTACTTTCTGCTTACACTTGGGTGTTGGACATGATCCACTCTGATTTCCCTGACAAACGTGCACATAAACAAAGAGTACAATGAGAAAGAAAATTTCAAATGTGTTTCACTAAATTAGACAAAATCATCTGCAAACAAACATATCAATGAATCAATTCATCCATGTCATCTACAGCAACTATGTCCGGTATAAGTCCATGATAACATGTGAACAATGCCTTAATAACAGGTAAAAGGCAAAGGTGCAAGAAAGTAAATTGACATGAAATCCTGCAGGTGTATCACAACAGTCTGTTCATGCAGAAGGAAATATACTCATCAATTCAGTAACTTGATCATCACATCAATCCTAAGCAGAAGGCAAGTAATAAACACTGCCGGAGAAAAAAAAAGCAAACCCAATGCCGAAACACACTGTCAATCAAGATACCCTCCTAAAATCAAGATTTTCACCTGTACAATCCTCCAAATGACTAATGAATATGTAGCCTAGCATGTATAGAGATCGCTATACTACTACATTATCCAATATTAACTAAGTTACATAATATATTCACCTGATCGATCATACGTCTATGCATGATTGTATTCTACTACATAATCGGGAAGAAGTGAAACAAAGTATTTACAAAGGTAAATTGTAGATCGCCTAAAATTAAAGCAATGCAACTAAAGATATTAAAATGGTTGACAACAAAGATGCAGTGTCGATAAATAAAATCAATCAACACATCCGCAGAATCCAACTGCAAGTGAGGATTGAATATAAGTCTGACACATTTCCACACCACCGATTGACTATAAAAGAGCAGGAAATTACGATAAATCTAAAAGAAGCCTACATTTCTTTCAACGCAAGAGAAACGTTTATTTTAGATCAGAT